GCTTTGAATAGCGCTGTGGTGATGAAAACTGGAAAATATTAAAGGAACAGTTGAATTTTCCTGTGTTCCTTTATTTGTTTCTCTCAGTATACATTTGTGTAATGTCCATATTTGATAATGTGTAGCTCACATGTTATTTATGATTTGTTCTGGAGGTTCGAGTTTCAATATGGCCACCATCACAGCCATATTGAACATAGATATAGAACGTCAGTGCAAAAGAATACCTAGTCTTGACTACCCTCAGAAACAAATTCTGTTTGGAGAAAATAGAAGCGACAAAACCCTTTCCACACCCAGAAGAAATATCTGCTAAAAGCAGAGTCGATTGTACAAGTGTGACAATATCATGAGTATGTATTTGTTTCAGTAGTATCACAGCTTACGACGTTGTTTGTAAACAAATCGAGTCTTAGACATGCGACACTCAACCCATACAATGTTTGGGAACAGCGCGCAAATGGATTCGAAAGAAATAGCTGTGAAAATTATATGAATGTGTCACTGAAAATCAGTGATAACACCAGGTGTTCCCGGAAAGGGGAAACATTTTTGTATGGCCACAGCAATCAAATTTTGCTGGGCATGAGCTGCTCTAAAATTCTCTCATCTCTGTAGTGAATTCAACCTCTTCAAACATTCCAACCAGGACATTCACCCGATCGATGAGCATACATGTTGCTTATTGAGATTTCTTTTTTCAAATCTTTATGGGTTTAGCATGTATTTTGTGATCCAGTTGCAGTGTTACAGTAATAGTTCATCTTTAAAGGTATGTAAAGTTGTAGTTTTGTGCAAAGTGAATGTAACTGATGTGTCGTGCGAAAAATAGTATGCTATTGACAATTTGATTTGAATAACACGAAAACGTTATTAATACTTTAAAAGGCCGAAAATAGACGCCGAAACACTGCAAGCGTAGGATATGGTTTTGATATGTATGTGTGTGAGTTTGAAATGGATTGTGAACCAATTATCCAACGTACAGTTTGGTTTTGAAATATATGTGTGTGAGTTTGAAATGGATTGTGAACCAGTTATCCAACGTAGAGTTTGGTTTTGAAATATATGTATGTGAGTTTGAAATGGACTGGGAACAAATTATCAACTTCTATTGACCGACAGTCCAGGTTCTTCAGTTGAACTTCCATTCTTTGCGATTCAGAAACAGTGTGGAAAAAATGTATTAAGTTGTTATATGTGTGCGTATACTTACATTCTCAACATCCATGCAGACAATATTTGAATAGTAATTCTGACATTAGGTATTGTTATATGGTGGTCCTTGTATTCCGTTGGTAACACAATGCCAAGACATGACCTTTGACAATTTGGATGAATATCTTTAATTATTTCATTTAAGAGAGTGAAGCGTGAGTGAGTGAGTTTAGTTTTAAGCCGCTTTAGCAACATTCGAACAGTATTACGGCGGGGGACAGCAATAACCTTCACATATTGTACCCATGTGGGGAATGGAATCTTCGGCGTGACGAGCGAACGCTTTAACCACTAGATTATCCCACTACTCATGAGCGGTTTACATTCATTGATGTTGCTGTGCAGATATAACCAATCCTGTTATAATTACAACCGTCCTAATATAGGCAATAGAATCGATGTTTCTTCATTTAGAGTCATTAATGTTTACACCACAGGGTGCTACCCATAAAATAAATTGAAGATTGTTGTTGAACAAACACAAATGTGTCATTCTCATTCATTCTCTTCGATCATGCTCACCTGCCTGATATTCCTAATGGGGTGATTTTTAATTATCGTCTAGCACCGCGCGTGTAGGTGCATAATGTAATTGATGCTAGTAACCCAATTCCCATGAGGAATGTTAGCTCTGTGTAGGTTGGTGGGTCACTCTGTGTTCTCAAGTTCACTGTTGGATGCAAGATCAACCACGTGGTGTATAAGTCCTTTATACGCCACAAACACACAATGCCATGCCGGTCTTCCGTACTTCCGGTTTCTGTCATTCTGATTTGATTTAAATGAGATATTTTACCCCGACACAATACCTTTCTATTGGTCGATATGACAGAACCTCCGTAGAAGATCATGTCAGATGGGTTTCTGATGAGGAAATCAACTTACTGGTTTCACTCCACTAGAGGCACCGTCATTCCACGTTATTCACTTTCATACCGTTCCTTATCCCTTGATGTCATTTCACGATATTCACCGTCATACCGTTCCTTATCCCCATTTGATGTCATACCGTTTTTCACGATATTCATTTCACGATATTCATGCGGTTCCTTATCCCTTGATGTCATTTCACGATATTCACTGCCATGCGGTTCCTTATCCCTTGATGTCTTTTGACGATATTCACTGCCATGCGATGGTTCCGTTTATCCCTTAATGTCATTTCACGATGTTCACTGTCATGCCGTTCCTTATCCCTTAATGTCATTTCACAATATTCACTGTCATACCGTTCCTTATCCCTTGATGCCATTTCACAATATTCACTGTCATACCGTTCCATATCCCTTAATGTAATTTAATGTCATTTCATACGATATTCACTTGATCATGCCGTTCCTCATACCGTTCCTTATCCCTTGATGCCATTTCACGTTATTCACTGTCATACCGTTCCTTATCCCTTGATGTCATTTCACGATATTCACTGTCATGCCGTTCCATATCCCTTGATGTCATTTCACGATATTCACTGTCATACCGTTCCTTATCCCTTGATGTCATTTCACAATATTCACTGTCATGCCGTTCCTTATCCCTTGATGTCATTTCACGATATTCACTGTCATGCCGTTCCTTATCCCTTGATGTCATTTCACAATATTCACTGTCATGCCGTTCCTTATCCTTGATGTCTTTCCACGTTATTCACTGTCATACCGTTCCTTATCCTTAATGTCATGTCATTCACCGTCATGCCGTTATTCACTGATATTCATGCCCGTTCCTTATCCCTTGATGTCATTTCACGATATTCACTGTCATGCCGTTCCTTATCCCTTAATGTCATTTCACGATATTCACTGTCATACCGTTCCTTATCCCTTGATGCCATTTCACAATATTCACTGTCATACCGTTCCTTATCCCTTGATGCCATTTCACAATATTCACTCCTTGATGTCATTTCACAATATTCACTGTCATGCCGTTCCTTATCCCTTGATGTCATTCCACGTTATTCACTGTCATGCCGTTCCTTATCCCTTGATGTCATTTCACGATATTCACCGTCATACCGTTCCTTATCCCTTGATGTCATTTCACGATATTCACTGTCATACCGTTCCATATCCCTTGATGTCATTTAACGATATTCACTGTCATGCCGTTCCTTATCCCTTGATGTCATTTCACGATATTCACTGTCATGCCGTTCCTTATCCCTTGATGTCTTTTCACGATATTCACTGCCATGCGGTTCCTTATCCCTTAATGTCATTTCACGATGTTCACTGTCATGCCGTTCCATATCCCTTGATGTCATTCCACGTTATTCACTGCCATGCCGTTCCTTATCCCTTAATGTCATTTCACGATATTCACTGTCATGCCGTTCCTTATCCCTTGATGTCATTCCACGTTATTCACTGTCATGCCGTTCCTTATTCCTTAATGTCTTTTCACGGTATTCACTGTCATGCCGTTCCATATCCCTTGATGTCATTCCACGTTATTCACTGTCATACCGTTCCATATCCCTTGATGTCATTCCGCGTTATTCACTGCCATGCCCTTCCTTATCCCTTGATGTCATTTCACGATATTCACTGTCATGCCGTTCCTTATCCCTTGATGTCATTCTGCGATATACACTGTCATACCATTCTTATCCCTTAATGTCATTCCACGATATTCACTGTCATACCGTTCTACCGTCATACACCGCCATGTCATCTTTAATAACATAAAGTCATTTCGCTATATACACCGTCATCATGTCCCTGATACCATAATGTCACGGTAGTCATTCTTAACCCTTTCCTAATACCTCAATGTTATTTTTCGTGATCATTGTCACGGAGTTCCAGATACTAATAAATTAATGTGTTTTCACGATAGGCACTGCAAAGGCGCCATTAGTACTGCTTCACTTCATGTTATTCCATTAACCCCACACATAAGCCATAATCAGTAATTTCTCAGTAAAACCATTTTCATCGTAAATGTGCTTATTTAGTTAGTTCCTGAACGAACAATATACACAGAATGTATATTTATCTCTAGGTGGAAATTCAGTATTAAAGTAACCAGGTGTTGGGAACAATCATGACAGTTTACCCAACAATGACTCTTCGAGGAGAAAGCCAATTTGTGCTTGAAAGCCACTCATTCAGTGAGTGAATGAGTGAGTGAGTTAGTTTAGTTTTACGCCGATTTTAGTTATGTTCCAGCAACATCACGCCGGGGGGACACCAGAGTGGGCTTCACACATTGTACCCATGTGGGGAATCGAACCCGGGTCGTCGGCGTGACGAGCCAACGCTTTAACCACTAGGCTACCCCACCGCCCCGCCAATCAGTGACGTGTGTGGTATCTAGCTGTATATACAAACGTAACGTCTCAACGTGGGACTACTATTATTGTTACAGATTCCGAAATCTGAGCACACAGTTGGCAAAAGGATTCGATCCATAACCTAGCTCTTGTAAACATTTTTCAAAGAAGTCGGACATACGGAGGATAAACAATAACCCATAGACCATAAAAATAATAACCTGAAGAAAGAAGAAAGTTGACGTTATATCAAAACAACCAGGACGCTTGAGCCTATAGCTTCCGATGCTTTCATGTGAAAGGGAAGATACAGAGAAATTCAATCACAGCTTTTATCCAATATCGGCACAGTAACACGACCGTCCTCCGCGTCGCTTCATGGGATATCGACAGGTCTTGGACGGTTCCAGCACCCGGTAGACTACGGCGCTGATTGGTTGCGCAGTCTGGCAAGCATTGTAGCCATTGATGCCATTAAATGGTTTTGTAAACTACGTTGAAATGGTTGCCAGGGCTGATTTGTTCCCAAGACAAAGGAGGTTGGTTTTGTGGCCGTTGTGTAACTATTTCTTAAGATGAGTGCGCATACACTCGGGAAAGTTGTGCATAGTTAAGGGATGGATACCATTTGCTAAAAGAACATGGGTTTCTCAGGGGTGTGTTTTCTCTATGTACTGGCTTCTGCCTGTCGGATTATTGGCGTAAATGCGGATAAGAAGACGAAAACTGAAGGTAAGACTGAGATTATCTTTGTGCAGTGGAAACAGGATATGTATAGACACACTGGGAAATGGTTTCGGTTGCTAAGGCAAATAAAGCTAGTTCCCCCCAATCAAAAATATTAAGCTAGAAGAACAGAATTTTTTTTAAATTTATTTATAATACGACAGAAATATTTCCATGATATATGGCATTGTGTAATTATAGCTTCCGGCCGTGGGTGCCGTGCCAATTAACACTTATCAGAGGGGTACACAAAGCCCGCAGTCTAGACTACCAGTTGTCCGACTTCCATTTTTTTGTGGAAGTCGCGGTAGCTGAGCGGGTTAGGCGGCTGACTTTGTGTGCTGGCGATTAGGTGCCTGGCTCTGAGGTTGTGAGTTCGAATCCCGGATGGGGCTCAACTCGAAAAGTACTAGAATTTGTACTTTACTAAGAAAGTGTAATCCCAAATATAACATACAATGTATGTTACACGATATTTCTGGACGTTCACGAAAACGTTGAGACTGCATCTGTTAAGAAGTCACAAGTAATTGGTTCCTGTAACCAAAGGAAATAAGCAGGCACCACAAAACCAAGTTTAAGCCATCTACCAAACCATTGTCATACAACTGTCTAGAACCTACAAGAATCATTCAAATAAAAGTCAAGATGTTTATAAATGAACATGTTGGAGTGAAAGTACAGCGTTACTGTTTAATCACATTCCATCAATGTGTAATAACATTGTAGATTGATGTAACAGTGATATCTTCAACGGGTGAGTAATAAATAGAGGATACTAAACGACTTTCCGTGTTATGCCATTTTTATTAAACGAGTTAATGATTTGGTATCAAATGAGCGTCACGGGATATTATTACACAATGTGTAATAACATAATAACATTGTAGATTTATTAAACAGTGATATCTTCAACGGGCGAATAATAATAGGAGATATCGTTTGATCCCACACAAGCAATATCTCCTGTGGAACAGTTTTGGATGATAACATCCGACTGTTAGTAGTACGACACATACGACCGATGCCAGTCTAAAGGCTGAAAGACATATGAAAATCACACACAAGGATGACGACACGAGAATGAAATCATCATCCGTCACACCTTAAAGAACATTGTTCCAGTTTGATGATTAATCAATGATTATATTTATTTTACACAATCGCGTCCATACGCTGGATGTGCAATAAATGAAAGATATGTGTTTCAGCTTTAAAGCATGGATGATGTTCTCGTAAACTATTTGAACTGGAGTAGGTTTAAATAGATCAAAATGAATCACGCGACTATCCGTTCTCTGGTGACTGTTACGTTCCACAACATGATCACAGCGTATCGTACGTCGTAGTGACGTAAATATGTTCTAAAACTTACGTGGGTTGAAGAGAAACGGACCAAAGTTTCTATAAGCAATATTTATCAATGATTAAACAACGTCATTGTCATCGAGGAAAACAATTACCCCGCAGTTATCAACATTACTTAAAATAAAATAAGCAAATTTACAACAATGTCATGTAGGTCACCTTGTTGGAACCCGGAAGAACAGGACTGGTAATGGCAAACCCAGAAACATAACAGTAACAAACTGGGATTCGATTTAATTATGCCATTGTACATTATGCCCCGTGAAAAATTGACTTGCCTTTGAATGTATTTGTGACGGGCCCAACCTTTTTGTAAAAACGTGATATCATCAGTGTAAATCGATAAACACCCATAATAACATCATTATGATATAGACAGAATCATAAACAATTCAGCAGTGATTTTTTAACAATTTAAAGTTTTGATCATGAAAGGTGTTTTTGTGCCATTAATCACTGTAAATCGTTTAAGTCTATCATTGTATGCTGTAGAGGTATGTCCCGGCAACAACTGGGCCCAGCTAGATTCGACGTGCTACTATTATCTGTCGTCGACGAAGACGTGGAACGCTGCCGAGAAGGACTGCGAAACCCGGGGCGGTACACTGCTCATATTCAAGGAACAGAGCGAAGTGGCCAAGGTTTTTAAACAGATCAAAACAATTGCCCAAAACATGTAAGGCGAAAATGAAACATTTATCCATGTAACGATCGAATCATTTACGTGCTAATTTATGTTCAAAATATTTTAATCAAGCAAATCGATGATTGTACGTACACCTATTTTCTTTACGTGTCTCCTGTCCGCCCTGATTGTTTTTATTCCAGCCTGAAATAAGTTTTCTTATCTTATTTTTCTTGCCACTGTGGACATTTATGCCCAATGTGATAAAAAATATATTTGCACACATGAGAAACACGTTCATTCATTGTTCTTTTGTCATGAAACTACATGTATATTTTAACTTGTATCCGAAGCAAAGCGACTCGGTCTATACACAGTTAGTGAAAGACATTGTGTTTATAGATTGTAAAAATGTTTCGCACCTACTGGTTGAGGTCAGAGATGAGAGATACAAACGCATAAAATGTAAGGTGAGGTGAGAGGTGAGGTGAAATGGGGTTTAACTTCGCACTTAAGAATATTCGCTCATATGACGACGTGCATGCGTGTGTATGTGTATGTGTGGCTGCTTGTACTAGCCCAGACTTAACTGGTTATATAGTGCCAGCTCACTGAGATACCATGCCGCAGCTAAGTATGGATATCTCACTCAGACAAATTATACTGACTCCGAGCTGACCAGTCCTTGTTGTACCAATTAATGCGGAGCGCCAGCACCATGTACAATGTTTTAACATCTTCTGGTATGACGAGCCCGGGGATCGAACCCGCGACCTTCCGCTCTCCGGGCGGACGGTCTAACCACTACACCACGGAGGCGCTTTAAACATGTAAGGCTGACCTAAACATTTTATAATGCAAACGTCAAAGCAGCGTTGAATTATCACTTGTGACGTTTCACGTGAAAAGTCGCATCGCACAGATTAAATGAGTTGAATCCAATTATCAAATGACTGAAATGTATAGGTTCTATTTGCCCGGGGGTGTATTATGTAAACAAATGTGGCAATTTATTTAATTAAAAAAGGAATTAATGCTTTTTCCAAGAAATTAAAAATAGACAATTACAATACGCATTGGATGACATAAAAATAATGCGTCGGTTAACAATAAAAGCATTATCGTGATTTTGTCAACGGTCTGGCATCAGTGCTTCTTTCATATTGTTTTACTACCCGTGAACATCCGGGTTTTGAATAGGTCTTCAGCAACCCATGCTTGTCGTAAGAGGCGACTAACGGAATCGGGTGGTCAGGCTCGCTGATTTCACACTTGTCATCGTATCCCAATTGCGTAGATGGATGCTCATGAGGTTGATAACTGGATTATGTGGTCAATACGCGATTATTTACAGACCGCCGCCATATAGCTTCAATATTGCTGAGTGCGGCGTAAAACAACAAACAAACAAACGTCTCAGTATTTTGACATTGAACGGTTCTTCTGTGTCTGCATCAGAGATTCTGTGCCGCTTTTCTGGATGGGTGTGCACAATCAGGATGATGACCGCGTCTTCCGGTATGCAGACGGAAGTGACGTCACAAAGTCCAACTGGAAGAAGATGCTGAATGAAGCTTCGGGATCAGGGCGCTGTCTGGCGCTCAAGTCCAGCCAGAGCGGCAGCAGCAGCAAAAGCTGGGCTTTGACTGACTGCAAACAAACATTGCCTTATGTCTGCGAAATACAACTATGTAAGTATTGAACAAAACCAACGCTTAGTCTCTGAACATATGTTATTTTGACAGAGCAACATAGCTTCATTTAATCTGAAATGCTGGGATATTAAACCTGAATATAATCTACACTTATTTCAGGTAAGAATTTTGCGTTACAGACAGGTCTGGAGGAAGTAGAAATAATGTGACCCAGGGATTGTGAGACAGACAAGTATTGAACCAGAGACCCCATAGTGATAAATCGATATATGGACTCCAGTTGAACTGATTATGCATTTATTTATCATTTTCCGAATCAGATCTCAATGCGTGGATATAACTTCATTGATACACGCTTCCGGAAAGTGGAGTAATCGATAATCCTTTTAGTACTGTACCGAAGTTTAACGAATGTACTCTTCTGGAACGGCGATGTGGGAGAAATGACGTGGTATTAAACATGACAATTCCACTGATTCCAAGACCAATTCTTAATTTATCCATTTAGTGATTTTTAAGGGGTTCCTTTTTCTTAAAGAGCTATGTTTGCTCATTTTGAATGGGTAAATAATAATCATCTGTGTGCCGTTGTACAAAGCGATCTTTGGGCTAAGGTGACCGTAACTCCCATACTTTAACACTGACCTAAGGTAGCCTTAGCGCTAAGGTTGTTTTGAACAACAGCACCCTGATTGATAACTTTGCTGGAGGTGCCCTTTCTGAATTGTATATTTACCCTGGACGTGCTCGTGAATATCTAGCAAATATTCAGAGAAAAAAATGCACGTGCAGGGTAAGACACAGTGTTTTCACCATGTAGCATAGACTTTTTGAATGTCTTTTTAAATACGATTTTTTAAAACAAGGTTGTTTAAACAAGTTAGGTGGTAAAGTCCTTTGAAAGTGTATTGTGGATAGTGTGTTTGTTCAAATAACAATGAGAAACTGGACCTTCGTGTCGAATCCGAACATATCAGTTGTGTTTTAAAGATCTTGAGAAGTCTTGTTAATCGAAGTATCTTGTGTATCGGCATCCAGCTTGTATCCATACATACCAGGCAAATAGTTATAGGTCATTTTATTCTGGGCGAGGTTAGTGGTAAGACAATCCATAGTAAGGACGTGTGATGGCTTTGTGAAACAGGGCGCTGAAACCACCATGGCACTGTTTGTGGGTACATGTTGATGCCAACCCTATATGTTGATGCCAACACCTGAGTGGTGTGAACGTTTTAAGCAGTTGTAGCCACGGATGAACAGAACAGATATTTTCTACAGCTATGAATTCGTTTCTGGACATTATCAAAATTGTCTTTCCAGAAATATACGTCGATCTAAGTGAGTGAGTCAGTATGAGTTTACCCCGCTTTCAGCAATATCCCAGCAATATCACTGCGGCAGATACCAGAAATGGGTTTCACACATTATACATATGTGGGGAATCGAAACCGGACGCTTTGACCATTTGGCTAACCTAGTGGTTAAAGCTTTCGCTCGTCACGCCGAAGACCCGGTTTCTATTCTCCACATGGGTACCATGTGTGAGACCCATTTCTGGTGTCCCCAGCCGTGATATTGCTTCAACGCATTCACTGACTCACTTTTTCTAACTCAATATGGGGCGGTGGGGTAGCCTAGTGGTTAAAGCGTTTGCTCGTCACGCCGAAGACCCGGGTTCGATTCCCCACATGGGTGCACTGTGTGATGCCCATTAGGTTATCCCCCGCCGTGATATTGCCGGAATATTGCTAAAAGCGGCATAAAAACTAAACTCACTCACTCTAACTCAAAATGCAAGAATACTTTTACGTAACACGATTTTCTCGAAGCTGTAAAGAAAGCTGAACGTTTCTGAAGTGAAGTTTTTGCATTGTTTCAGCTGTGGCTCGATGGTCCGGCTGGAGTCAGTGGACTGACTGTTCTGTGTCCTGTGGGGAGGGATCTAGAACCAGAACTCGGACCTGCCTCCGCGCTACTGAGGCTTCAGGGGAGTGTGTTGGGGAGGCTGTCAAGACAGAGGTGTGCTCTAACACGTGCAAATGTGAGTCCAACCCCACTCATCTGGACAGTATGCCAAAACACGTGAAGAATCGGGTTTGAACTGGTCGTCAGGAACTTATTCTTGTCGTAAGAGGCAAATAACGGCGTCGGGTCGGCCAAGCTCTCTGACCTGATTAATTCATAACATCGTGTCACAAATCCAAAATGTGATGCTCATGATGTCAATCACTGGTTTAGTCCAGAACGCCGTCATATAGCAGGCCGGAGTTTTGTTGAGTGCGGTGTTAAACAACAAACAGTATGCATTTGAAAACCTCCTTTCATTAACCTTCAATCGCATTTTCCCAGTGCACCAAACCCTGCCATTTTTACCCGGTGTGCTTAATGTTTTATTGAGAAAAATATGCTATAAACTACATTTTGTGTTGTGTAACGCTCCCCGCATTGTCTTGTAGCACCGATCGTTTATTTGAGAAAAATGCTGATAAACTATGTTTTGTTGTGTAACGCCTGTTGTAGCAATCTCTTGATATAAAACAGAGGTTACTTAGGTCATATCTTCCAACGAACCTCTGATCTGATAATACGGCCCTTTCATTGTGCGAGTGTTCAGGATTCGTGCAATCAGATTTAGTTGTGCAATCAGCGACGTTGTTTCAAAGCTTTGGGAAAACTGGAACCTCTACCCCTGCGTAAACATTTATGCTAGACAGAACTCAGTCATGTAATGGCGGATCAATGGCGTCTCCATCGCCCTCGTTGACAACGGACAAGCTAGCCATTAAATGTCTTGTGTATCACATCAACACACGTCCCCGACAGAGGAGGGATATTAGAGGCACACATTTGCTTGTATTAGTCAAGCTGGACCTAAGTCGATGTAACACAAGCTCTGACTGGATAGAAAGATGGAAGTTAGTTCGTGTTGCGATTTTTTCCGCAAGGGGATTTTACGAGAACGGGGAAATATGGCCGTAGTAGAACAGAGGTTCGTAGGAAGATATGACTTGAGTAACCTCTGTGGGAAGAGAATGCTATTCGTGTAGCAGAATGTTAATATAGTCTGATGTCATGTAAATGTAAAACGTTATATAGATGAAAACACCAGCTCTGTTCAGTGGATATGTCATGTCATCCATATGTATTCTACTCAAATGAAGTTAAACAACACACGGTTATATTGTTAATCTGTCACAGTAAGAGGCGACTAACGGGACCGGGGGGTCAGACTCGCTGACTTGGTTGACACATGTCATCGGTTCCCAATTGCACAGATCGATGCTCATGCTGTTGATCACTGGATTGTCTGGTCCAGACTCGATTATTTACAGACGACCCGCCATATTGCTGGTATATTGCTGAGTGCGGCGTAAACTTAACTCACTCACTCACTCACTAATTTGTCACAGCTGTGAGTCATGGCCTCAGGCTGTGAGTACTTCCACTCACAGCCTTCCAACTGTTGGCGATCTCTAATTTGTTTCGAGTAGCATATTGTGTTGTGGGTGTACAGTGCCTGCTGTGTGGGGCGAGTGGAGCAGCTGGGGTGCCTGTAGCAAGACATGTGGGACGGGGCAGATGAAGAGGACCAGGAGCTGTCTCAACTCGCAGGACGTCAGTGAATGTGTTGGGGAACCCGAAGAGACCGGAGAGTGCTCAACAGAAGCTTGTCCTGGTCAGTGAAACAAACTAATGTTTAGCTGACTGGTCAGTGGATAAATCTGTGAGTTTGGTTCAGTGTAATATCTAGATTGTGTACATACATTTACATGGTCTTGTTGCTTCCACCCTCATTATCTCACCCAATACTTGGGGCAGGATACGCTCATCTTTTCGCGAACACCTGGTATCATCACTATTTCATAGTGATTCATAAACATGCTCTGTCATCGTATCGCATGGTGACAATCACTGGTCCGGTCTCGATTTGTTTACAAACAAAATTGTGCAGCTGTAAAACTGCTGAAACAAATATATACTCATGGAATAATCACTACTGTACAATGGAGTCTGCTTTTAGCAGATATTTCTTATGGATGTGGAAAGGGTTTTGTCGCTTCTATTGTGTTAAACGAGCTGAGGAAATCGACTCGACTTTACCACTACCAACCCACACAACAGCACGTGAAAAAAGTTTAACGTTAATACTGACAGGTAATTTTGCATGAAGATCTTCGCATGTCTATCTCAAATGAACAAACACGTGTTCAAAGTTCTTAATTTTATTTTTGTCTATTTTTTGTTTGAAGTCTGGAGTGAATGGACCGAATGCAGTGTGACCTGTGGTGGAGGTGAAAGGTCAAGGACAATTTCATGTTCTGGTGGAAAATCATGTAAAGACGGTTCTTCTGGACAGACTGAAGTCTGTGGGGAGGCCACATGTCCAGGTTCGTTTTCAATCACCTTCTTTACTGCCAGATATATGTCTGAAAAATAATGCGTGTGGGCTTCGTGTTGGCCACAAAGGCGTGTCAGTTGCACCCTTAAGTAAAACTATTCATGTAAGCGTGAAATTTCCAAAAAGGCTTGAAACATAGTCATAGAAAACGGTGGCATTTGTACACTCACACGTAATTGATTTGTGTTATTTACTTGATGTCCATATATAGTTTCATTCATTGATAAGTGATGTAAATTACGAAATTGTGAGCATAAATCTGAGCAACAATACACCTTTTAAAAGTTCTTTTGGAAGCCTGTTTTAAGTAAAAGTGCAAACTAGGTTGTGACACCGGCACGAGGTCAAGGTCAAGGTCGTGTCCTGTTGTCAATGGATGCAAAGGAGAATCAAGGGAAACAAACAATTGCAAAAGCACGGATTGTCCCGGTAAGTGTACCACGATCGCAGCTTATGCAACTTTTATCATAATGAGCGAGGTTTGTCTATTTATAAGGAACACATCAGACATTTTGGGAATGTCTAGTAAGTATGAATAAAAAACATTTAACATCTGTTTCTGATTTACTGAACATAACCCCAAATGTCGTGTTATGGTTTAAGCCTGGAGTGACTGGCAGTCATGGAGTACATGCAGTGTCACGTGTGGCCAAGGTGAAAGGTCAAGATCACGGAAATGCAGCAAAGGTGACACCTGTCCAGGGGAGAGCAGTGAGAAAGAAGAATGTCGAGAGGTGGATTGTGCAGGTGATCACTTATGTGGTTCTTCTTTTTCAAACCTCCCTCAGTGTTTCCTACCAGTGATATTAGGTACGAATCCCTTAATTTCTCATATTAGGTGTGTAGGTTTGTCAGCACCAAACCATGCTTTAGGGTTTCGCAAACGTGCTACATTCTCAGACATTCATCCCATTGGGCTTTCCCCCTCCATTTAACCGACCCACCACTAAAAAGGGAAATAAACATTGAAAGGGACAAAGCTCTACTTTTGTCACTCACATTTCCCCAAACATAGAGATATGTTATGAATAGGGCCGAAAGGTCATGGAGTTGTTTCTAAGATAATAACTTTGCTAAAACATGCATGAACAAGATGTTTTAACGTTGGTTTGGCTTAAAGGATAGCTTTTTATAATTATAATCAGATCATGATGAAATCATTTGGTAAAACAAACCCCTGATCCAAACTGGATCTTGAGTGGACATTGAACATGACTAAAGACCTTTTCCGTGTGCACAGTCAATGCTAGGCACATTAATGGATAATGACTATTTTTTTGGCAGTTTGGAGTGAATGGAGCACATGTAGTGTGACCTGTGGTCGAGGTGAAAGGTCAAGGACAAGTTCATGTAAAGGGAAAAAATGTAAAGACGGGGCTTCTCAGCAGACGGAAGAGTGTATGGAGACCACGTGTCCAGGTACGCTTATAAATCCATTTCTTTCGTTTAGTTTTAAATAGAATGCATTACGTCTTAAAGGGGCGGTGGGGTAGCCTAGTGGTTAAAGCGTTTGCTCGTCACGCCGAAGACCTGGGTTCGATTCCCCACATGGGTACAATGTGTGAAGCCCATTTCTGGTGTCCCCCGCCGTGATATTGCTGGAATATTGCTAAAAGCGGCGTAAAACCATACTCACTCATTACGTCTTACAATCCAAGGAAAATGTTCAGAACAGACATGTGACTATGTTGACGTTGTTCTCTATGACAGTGTGGACTCGATGGGGAGAATGGGGTCCTTGCAGCCAAACATGTGACACCGGTACGAGGTCAAGGTCAAGGTCGTGCCCTGTTGTAGGTGGATGTCGAGGAGAATCAACGGAAACCAACAATTGCAAAATCACGGATTGTCCAAGTAAGTGTACGACGATGCCAACATAAACTACTTTTATTAAATTCAGTGTGGATTGTCTATTTTTGAACAAAAATATTCAATATTGATTTACTGAATGTAAGCACAAATCGTGATAATGTTTGTTTAAGCCTGGGCTAAGTGGAGCTCGTGGAGTACGTGCAGCGTCACGTGTGGCCAAGGTGAAAGGTCAAGATCACGGGAATGCAGCAAAGGTGACACCTGTCCAGGGGAGAGCAGTGAGAAAGAAGAATGTCGAGAGGTGGATTGTGCAGGTGATCACTTTTGTGGTTCTTCTTTTTCAAACCTCCCTCAGTGTTCCTTACCAGTAATATTAGGTACGAATCCCTTAATTTCCTATTTTAGGTGTGTAGGTTTGTCAGCACCAAACCAATCTTTTGGGGTTCGCGAAGGTGCTAAATTCTCAGACATTCATCACATTGGGCTTTCCTCCTCCATTTAACCGACCTACCACTTAAGAACGGAAATAAACATCGAAAGGGACAAAGCTCTACTTTTGTCACTCACATTTCCCCAAACATAGAGATATGTTATGAATAGGGCCGAAAGGTCATGGAGTTGTTTCTAAGATAATAACTTTGCTAAAACATGCATGAACAAGATGTTTTAACGTTGGTTTGGCTTAAAGGATAGCTTTGTATAATTATAATCAGATCATGATGAAATCATTTGGTAAAACAAACCCCTGATCCAACCTGGATCTTGAGTGGACAATGAACATGACTAAAGACATTTTCCGTATGCACAGTCAATGCTAGGCACATTAATGAATAATGACTATTTTTTATTGGCAGTTTGGAGTGAATGGAGCGCATGTAGTGTGACCTGTGGTCGAGGTGAAAGGTCAAGGACAAGTTCATGTAAAGGGAAAAAATGTAAAGACGGGGCTTCTCAGCAGACGGAAGAGTGTATGGAGACCACGTGTCCAGGTACGCTTATAAATCCATTTCTTTCGTTTCGTTTTAAATAGAATGCATTACGTCTTAAAGGGGCGGTGGGGTAGCCTAGTGGTTAAAGTGTTTGCTCGTCACGCCGAAGACCTGGGTTCGATTCCCCACATAGGTACAATGCGTGAAGCCCATTTCTGGTGTCCCCCGCCGTGATATTGCTGGAATATTGCTAAAAGCGGCGTAAAACCATACTCACTCATTACGTCTTACAATCCAAGGAAAATGTTCAGAACAGACATGTGACTATGTTGACGTTGTTCTCTATGACAGTGTGGACTCGATGGGGAGAATGGGGTCCTTGCAGCCAAACATGTGACACCGGTACGAGGTCAAGGTCAAGGTCGTGCCCTGTTGTAGGTGGATGTCGAGGAGAATCAACGGAAACCAACAATTGCAAAATCACGGATTGTCCAAGTAAGTGTACGACGATGCCAACATAAACTACTTTTATTAAATTCAGTGTGGATTGTCTATTTTTGAACAAAAATATTCAATATTGATTTACTGAATGTAAGCACAAATCGTGATAATGTTTGTTTAAGCCTGGGCTAAGTGGAGCTCGTGGAGTACGTGCAGCGTCACGTGTGGCCAAGGTGAAAGGTCAAGATCACGGGAATGCAGCAAAGGTGACACCTGTCCAGGGGAGAGCAGTGAGAAAGAAGAATGTCGAGAGGTGGATTGTGCAGGTGATCACTTATGTGGTTCTTCTTTTTCAAACCTCCCTCAGTGTTTCTTACCAGTAATATTAGGTACGAATCCCTTAATTTCTCATATTAGGCTTTCCTCCTCCATTTAACCGACCCACCACTTAAGAACGGAAATAGACATTGAAAGGGACATGCGGAGTAGGTCAAAGGTCAAGGTCGCCAAAATGCAGCAAGGGAGACATCTGTATAGGGTTAGAGCAGTGAGATAGGACAGTGTCAAGAGGTAGATTGTGCAGGTGATGACTCTTTTTTTCCTTCTTTCCCAAATCCCGCTGGATGTGTCATATTCAATGACATTAGATTCGAATCCCTTTTTGGCCCTGGTTTAGGGCTGTCGACACATACCCGTCTAAGTTGGTTTCTCAAAAGTGCCACTTTATGGGCAGTCCTGTTAACAGCGCTCTTCATTATGCTTCGTAAACTGCAGTCTGGAGTGATTGGACTGGATGCAGTGTGACCTGTGGCCCAGGTGAAAGGTCAAGGACAAGTTCATGTGAAGGGAAGAAATGTAAAGACGGGGCTTCACAGCAGACGGAAGAGTGTATGGAGACCACATGCCCAGGTTCGCTTTGGAATCACTTTGTCTCGTTTAGCTTTAAATATAACACATTTGAAAGCCATAGAAAACGTTCAGAATAGACGTGTGACTGAACATTGATGTTGTTCTCTATGACAGTGTGGACTCGATGGGGAGAATGGGGTCCTTGCAGCCAAACATGTGACACCGGTACGAGGTCAAGGTCAAGGTCGTGTCCTGTTGTAGGTGGATGTCGAGGAGAATCAACTGAAACAAACAACTGCAAAATCACGGATTGTCCCAGTAAGTGTCGAACGATGATTGCTAATGTCGGACATATTCTCTCGGTCAGTGATCGAGTCAGTAATACTTAATGCTACATTTAATCTCTGATGATCGCTTAAAATATCAATATTTTTGTTTTTGTTAATATCATTTCAGAGTGGGGTAATTGGCAATCATGGAGTGCATGCAGCGTCTCATGTGGTGTCGGTCAAAGGTCAAGGTCTCGAAAATGCAGCAAAGGTGACATCTGCAAAGGGGAGAGCGGTGAGACAGGAGAATGTCGACAGGTGGATTGTGCAGGTGATGACTTCTGAATAACGCTGTTTCTCTCCTTCACGAAACCACAAGTATGTCATCATGTGGACCAATCCAGATTCTTTTTCTCTCTGTAGTTATGGTACTAAATGTGCAGATCATCTTGAAGCAAACCAAACCATGGTGCCAAACACCAACTCCTTTTATGCTTCTAGATTTGTTAGCACAGTACCGTGCACGTGAGTTTGACTTGGCGGTAATTGTCTATAAGACCTCAATCTCTAACATATGTCGACCCACATTGACTGGACTACAGTAAACAAGCAGCGTAAAAGGAAGGTTAACTCATTGATTCAAGCTACACTATAAAATTCGGCCGGATAACGGCCCAGCATATCTTTTATGCAGTATGCACTATATACTTAGTGTAAAATTAGAAACAGGTTGCATGTTAAAACCAGATGTACCGTTATTGTCTCTCTGATGGCATTTACACGTATATATGATTATCCTACCTGCTTATCAACGAACGAGTTCGAACCAGACGTATGTAACAGACACTACTGCAATATTGTTTGACTTCTTACTTAAATCATACCAAAGTCTTTCCTTGATCTTGCACGGTACATGAATGACATTACCTTCACACATTCAGTCACGCAATGATCTGAGACCTGCGTCAGGCTTTCCTCTCACATCACCCAACACGTCATGGTATGACTGGAATAATATTACAAGTGGCGTTGACTCCAAATCGCTCACCAAGTCATAATAACGGACGTGTTTATGACGTACTGTATATGCTTCATGTTAATTACAGTCTGGAGCGAATGGACTGGATGCAGTGTGACTTGTGGTCGAGGTGAAAGGTCAAGGACAACTTCGTGTGAAGGGAAAGACTGTAAAGACGGCACTTCTCGACAGACGGAAGAGTGTATGGCGACCACGTGTCCAGGTACGCTTATATATCATTTTCTTTCGTTTAGTTTTAAATAAAATTTACTTAAAAGCCATTGGAATAGATTATGACTTCGTTGATGTTTTTTTTTTTTAGTTTGATTACAGTGAAAGTTTACTTGCGTAAATGTGAGAAACGTCCATGCCACATTTCCATCCCGTGAAAAAAGGGTTCAGAATAGACGTGTGGCTACGTTGATGTTGTTCTGTGTGATATAGTGTGGACTCGATGGGAAGACTGGAGTCCCTGCAGTCAAACATGTGACACCGGTGCGAGGTCAAGGTCAAGGTCGTGTCCTATAGTAAATGGATGTCGAGGAGAATCAACGGAAACAAACAATTGCAAAATCACGGATTGTCCCGGTAAGTATTGAAGGCAGGCAACTAATATGTTTAAACTTCCAGAAGATAACCAGAAATATCGTAATCGGTGTTGAGTTGTGATTTGTAAGCGTGGGAGTTAACATATAGGAACATGGTCAATGCATTTCCTGGAAGACTGAGAAAAAGACATATTATGATTTCAAAAAATGGTAACAGCCGAACATGATATTGTGTTTGTACATTATACGAAGGTGCATTGCTGAAATACAAATGAGTACAGCAACTATACCAATTGTTATTGCAGACTGGAGAGGCTGGGGTGCCTGGACCCTCTGCAGCGAAACCTGTGGGGAGGGTCAGAGGTCAAGGTCACGGGAATGTTCTGGTCGAAAATGCAGTGGAAGCAGTTCCCAGACAGAAAGTTGCAAAGTTCAAGATTGCTCCAGGTAAAGCATTGAAGCAGGTGCATCTCAACAATTTGTTATCGGATGTAGTCATTAGTACGCACGTGAAATACTGAAACTAGCAAAATAGGAGTTACGATATAAATATATTATTCGGAGAGAATACAGTACCTGAAGAGGGTGTGGTAACTTCAGGTGAAAGTCGTGGTATACAAACTGAAACAGTATTTTGCACAACGCAATAAGAATCGTCCTTTGTACCTTAGGATTGTTAAAGCAGATCGGATGGTCACGTGTAGACTTGCACAAGTCTGAAAGGTAATAATTAATAATTTAAATGATAATTTCTAAAATATATAAATAACACAGATTGAGGTCCTCAGAGTCCCCTTATCTAGACTTGCCTCTTTAAAGGATAGAATTATTATACAAACAAAGGCTTAGCACAGCCATAGAGCAATGCTAGGTCACGTTCTGCTGAAAACATTAAACATATATCATGCTAATACTCATTTGTTTGTCAGACTTAATTACAGGCTTTCTTGATGTAAGGCTTTAAACCCAGGATTTAAACGTCATTCACACACTTTAGTAAACACGACTCCTGAATAAACAACAACAAATAAACAAGCTGTCTTTTTGTATGACCGTCTGTATTGAATCCAGAGTTGGGCAAATGGGGCGACTGGACCGACTGCAGCGTCACGTGTGGAAAGGGCAAGGTCACAAGGTCAAGGCCATGTAGTGGACTGGAGAAATGTGGACATGACACGTTACAAACCAAGTCTTGCAACAAACCCAAATGCAGAGGTAAGGCACAAGTTCGTGTTTTCCAATTTTAAGGTCGGATTCAGCATCATGATGCAGGGGACAACACTACATATACTACTCGAGTTTAATGAACACATTATGCATCGAATATCTGGGGATCGACCATTTCATATTTGAGAGGGTATTCAAAGATTATTGCAGATTCAAATTGTAACTCTGCAAGCTTTCATGCCTTCTGGTCCTCCTTCCATTTACTGTTTTGTAACCCTCTACACTAATTCCAGAAAATTGAATAATACACAGGATTATTTCATGTTTGTTAGTCGGGGTTTCATGCACACACAAACACAAATATTCTGTGCAGCAGTCGTCAGACAAACTGAAATCCACCCCGACAGTTGCTTGGAACTATTTTACTCTCACTATATGTGTGTGTGTGTTGTGTGCTTTCAACCCCGACAGGTTGAAAGTAGTTCATATATATTTGTTGGTCTTGTTGCATATATATATATATGTATGTGTGTATATGTATGTGTGTGTGTGTGTGTATAATTGATGCACACTATACCTTTGAATGTTCATTAAGGATGGAAAATGTAACTTCAAAAGATTGAAATCGCTATGCTTGTCAAGACGTTATTCTTTATGAACTCAATACTTAAGAAATCTATTTTCAATTGTACCAAAACCCTGTGTGGCTTTTTCGCACATTTGCCAGAGTGTTTATTCTGACATCAAACACAAGAACAAAATCGATTCAAGTAAGTTTACATTGTGATTTCCTTCACCATCCCTTCCCAACCAAACATGATTTGTTACATATTATTTTTACGTGTTGAATGTTGTTTGAATGTTACTTGAATGTGTCGAGAAACCTACCATTTAACCACCTGTGGGGAGATGTGTTCACAAACAATTCTTCAAGTCAAACAGTTTTGTCTCAGTTTTCAGTCCAAAAAACCAAAAATACTCGATCACTCGCCAAAGGTGTGATATGCGTCATAATGTATGTTGAAACTGAGGCAAAAATATTATCTGGCTTCGGATCAAATCTCTGTCTCCCCTCTATCCCAGGTAAGCAAACTGCTGGGTCCGTTACATCAGTGTTTAAAGACTCACGTCACCATTGCTGTAGATGTAACACAAAATCGTTATTTGGAGATGCCTTAGCCATGTTATCCATCAGAGCGTAGAGTTGTCTCTCCCTTCCTGCACATTCGGAAGTCTCTCAGATGTGTTGGATGATAAACAGAGAACATCGATATCCCTTTGAAGGCTTTAGCTGTGGCCAAAGCCTGAACAAACATACTCCTTATTTACATGTGTTTAGAGAGAGGGCTTACCTGTTTGGGAAAACCGTTATTTCATTTCATTTATAACTGAAATCAATTGTCGAGATCCATTAATGTGATTGATTAGCAACTTAAACGTCTTATGGCATATTGTGAGTAAATCTCTGTGAGTGATTGAGGTGTGTTCGGCTACATTAAGCTGTATCACGCACTCGGATTCACTCGGCTGATTCCGTGTCGACTTAACACTTCGTGCAACAATGGAGTAGTGATTTTGCATAGATTCACCGTTGACCTTGCACCGCCAGACCCCACGCCTTTAAAGGGATATGACACGATGGCTGTTGTGAAAACGGGTTGTTGTGAACTTAAAAATTAGGCACATGTGTACACTTTGATGGGAAATCTAAACCTTACAAAAGCAGTTCGTTGAACCGTTTCGAAGGTATCACTGCTTTCGCTCTGGCATTGTGTCACGTGACAGTCATGTGCCCGTATTGCAACATATAAATCTGACAGTTTGCCTCAGGTATTGCACAAAAATATAGTTAATCTTGTTTGCAAGACATGCTGCCCACATGGTACAATGTGTGAGGTCTGCTACTAAAGTACTGTCGGAAATAGAAAAAAAACCCTGTTTTTAGGCTGTTACTCTGTATCCCTAAAAATTACACAATTGCAAATAGCATATGTCGAAATAACCCACATCGGCCTAACTGAGCGAGCAGTGGGATGCGTTATAGGATATCCAGAAAAGCATGTTTACACGTAAAATCGGGCAAAACTTAGAAAAAATACGAACAGCTGCTGAAAACAATAGATCCGACTATAGATGGCAATTAGGTCGCTCAGCCAGGTATGACAACGGACCGTCGACTCACCTGGCATGAAAAGCATGTGCTGCATACAGGCACGAGGGGTCATCTCAAAGATATTTTTTTGCTTTTTCATGTGCGTTGTATATGTCTCATGTATTGATTATAGTCTGTTTGCAGTGAAAACGTACCGATGAATTTCACTTTAAACAAAAACGTAAATCAAATAAAGTGAAATTAGAAGTTCGAATCCTCATGATTTTACCTTGCCAACTGAACATTTAAATCTCTGAATTTTATTCAACTTAGGATAAAAGTTGTTTTACAAACGATCATAGTTTCAAATCGGTATTATTGGTTTGTATGCACATTAAATGAAACGCCGAGAACAATTTGGTTGGTTAACGCTCATCACATACTGCACGTGCATTTGTATCACTGTTCCAATTACTGCGTTTACTCCCTTGTAATACAAACCAATCGCACACGAATTTGCATAAAGACATTGTCCGTTCCACAAACGTCGCTTTCGACTGCAGTGCTCATCTCTCCTCAGTATTGTCCCTTTTCTACGTTTCCTATCTCCCTACCACTGACACTGTAGATAGACCGATCTTAGTTTAACAGATATTTCACAGTTTCACATATTAACAACATAAATTGTAGATATAATGCGAAAAAACAGGTTTTTTTTCTATTTCCAACAGTACTTTAGTGTACCTCTGCCATGATGATGCTACCCTTGAAGATCCGTGTTAGAATTGATCATCAGCAACCCATGCTTGACGTAAGAGGCGACTAACGGGATCGGGTGGTCAGGCTCGCTGACTTGGTTGACAAATGTCATCGTATCCCATTTGTGTAGATCGATGCTCATGCTGTTGATCACTGGATTGTCTGGTCTAGACTCGAGTATTTACAGACTGCAGCCATATAGCCGGGACATTGCTGAGTGCGGCGTAAAACTAAAGTTACTCACTCAGTCATGATACTGCTGTAATATTGTTCAAAACTTAAAGGCCAAGGCCATCAAACTCATTCCTTACCTGAATTTTCAAGTTATATACGTCATATACAAAACTCACCTACAGAAAAAGACCACTGGACAAAATGGGATCTGTGGAGTGCGTGTTCGGTGACGTGCGGTGTCGGCAGGAGTACTCGACAGCGTCAATGCGTCAACGCCGATGGCGACATAGTCAACACGTGCAGGGGATCCGACACCGAGTCTAGACAGTGCCTGGCTCCTTGCAATGGTAACAGTTGTGGTTTATGGCGAGTTTTGTAGGCGTAAATGTGTGACTAAAAAAATCAGACTAGTTATTCTTGTTCTCGGCGATCACAGACAGCTATGGATTTACAAGTTAGCCTTGTCAAGATCTACAGAAAACAAACTGCCATACTTTTTCATAGTTCTAGTGAAGTATCGAGTTGCATTTGAACGTCAGCTATAACCATGCTTGTCGTGAGAGGCGACTTACGGGATCGGTTGGCGAGTCTTGCTATCTTGGTTGATATTTGCAATCGTTGCGTGGTTCGATACTCACGATGTCAATAACTGGATTGTCTGGTCCAGACTCGATTATTTACAAACCTCCATCATATAGTTGGAATATTACTGAGTGTGGTGTTAAACAACTAAAACACTGAAACACGTGTATATTTGACTTGCCGACATGGATGAGAGACGACAGTGTTGTGAGGCCATCACCTTTAGACGTCATGCAACACTGTCATCCATTTCCAAACTAAAAGGGGCGGTGGGGTAGCCTAGTGGTTAAAGCGTTCGCTCGTCACACCGACGCCACCCGGGTTCGATTCCCCACCCGGGTACAACGTGTGAAGCCCATTTCTGGTGTCCCCCGCCGTGATATTGCTGGAACATTGCTAAAAGTAGTGTAAAACCATATTCACTCACTCACTCACTCCAAACTAAGAGTCCTCAGTACCACATGGCGGAAACCTGGATGGATACCACAAGGTTCTACGTGGTGTTTTCGTTTTTATTTTTTATGCCTCAATTAATGTCTCTCAGGACTGAAGGATATTTCTTTTCCAAAATGTATGAACATATTAAACGACGAGGAACTGCTTATGTCACTCGTCTAGACACGTTAATTCTCGAATTTAAAGGCAGAAATGCGGTAGCCAAGTGGTTGCAGTGTTCGCTCATCACATGGAAGACCGAGTTCGATTCCAAACAGAGGTACGATGAAGCAAAATCTTAGCACATCGCCTTGATACGGCAGATAGTACTGCTGAAAATGGTCATAAAACGTTTTACCCACATCAACTAATATTTCAAAATGTTAAAAACTTATTTAAAATTGTCTTGTATAGTTGTATTTCCTGAATCTATTTTACAGACGTGGCCATTGTGCAGAAACTGCTGCGGGATTGTCCTCCGGACCAGGTCGCAGGTTTGAAAAAAATTCAGGAGAAAGTGTCCAACAAAAAGAAGAAGGAAGACATATTCAACGGCCAGGACACTGAGGACTGGGTGATTGAGGGGTACGAAATTGAGGAAGTGATTGTGGATCGGCCTTTGACCTGCGCGCATAAATGTCTCCTAACGGGATCCTGTCGATCTTTTAATTACGAGTATTTGTTGACGGATGGAAAGAATGACCTGAGTGTTCCCAAACGCTGTATGTTGAACAGTGTGAACAAAGACTACGACAGAAAAGCTCTCAAGGAAAAGGAAGGATACAAACTGTTTGATCTGGAGCCATTCTTTATATGAACGCAGCTGCGTTTGTTGTTTTACGCCGCAGAGATATTCCAGCATTTCGCAGCGGATTGTGGATATAAACCCAGTGTTCGATAGCATGATCAACATTATACACCGGACTGTGACCTAATCACCCAGCAGCCTGATCCACAAAGCATTCTTAACTTTACGACGTGTCGTAACTCTATAGTTTATCATAGCGCTACGAACGTTTTGGGATCGGGACCTAGGTCTGACATCACCCTATCCTCGTTGTAGAGGGTTCTTCCTACAATCTCGTGGTATTTGGGGATCCAAGCGGTGGGGTAGCCTTGTGGTTAAGGCGTTCACTCGTCACGCCGAAAAAACGGGTTTGATTTCACACATGGGTACAATGGGTCTAGCCCATTCTGATGTGATATTGCTGCCGCGCCCTGATATTGCTGGAATATTGCTTAATTCATACTCACTCGAATGGGTTCCGTTCTTTCATATAAGACCCGTGAAGATCCGTGGAAGAACAGGTCTTCAGCAACCCATGCTTGCCACATAAGGCGAATATGCTTGTCGTAAGAGGCGACTAACGGGATCGGATGGTCAGGCTCGCTGGCTTGGTTGACACATGTCATCGGTTCCCAATTGCGCAGATCGACGCTCATGCTGTTGATCAGTGGATTGTCTGGTCCAGACTCGATTATTTACAGACCGCCGCCATATAGCTGGACTATTGCTGAGTGCGGCGTAAAACTAAACTCACTCACTCACTCTTTCATATAATCCCACACGTAACGAGTGAGTGAGTATGGTTTAACACCGCTTTAAGAAATATATCAATGTCATGGCACTGAATACCAGAAAAGGGCTTCACATACTACACTTATGTGGGGACTCGAACACCGACCTGAGGCGAGACAGTGTTGTAGTCCCAATTGAACAATGTTCCAGGTGACGGCGGTCTGTAAACAATCGAATTGTGATCCAGTGATTGACATCATGAGCAGCGAGATAGTAATCGAGACACGAGGACATGCACTAACCAAATCAAGTCGCTTCTTACGACAAGCACAGCCATCACTTACACAAAGCATAGGTTGCTGGTTGTGAATTCTCTGGATCACCTGGGTCTTCAACCTTTGGGTCATCATTGCCTTCTCGCTGTTTGGAATACTAAATAATAATAACTATTCCATATATATTGCGCTAAATCCACACCGACAGCATGCATACAGACAGTCCATTGTTACCCCGGATAACCCAAGATGCCGAGAAGGTTACAGTCACATGACTTATCTCACCGGGTACCCATTTTCTGCTGGGTGAACAGATACTGAACAATCATTATCAGAGAATATTGAAGGTGTAGATAATACCCTAAGTTATCGTCAGCACACATGGAATATACCCTGTCAGGCTGATCAAAAGTCCGGTGTTCACTCAAATGCCATTCTCAGCTTCCTGTGAAGGATGTAATTTGAACTTAATGTGATGTTCTGGAGTTGTTTGTCTTCAGTCAGGACTTAGACGAGATATTACACAGATTCCATCGTGAATTTTCAGTGTTGGTCACTTGCAACAGAACAACGATGGACGCCAAGGGTCCACCACCCGTTATGGTCCCAAAAGTAGTCTCGTACCATTATTTCGTGTGCGATAAAGAAACCCACCACCGGACCATTCAAATGTAGATAGAACTGTGAAGGATTCGTACATTGGAGTCTTTGTGCGTGCGTGCGTGTGTGCGTGTGCGTGCGTGCGTGCGTGCGTGTGTATATATGTGTGTGGTATATATGTACATAGAGTAAACTGTATCGATATCATTTTGTACTTTACAATCTATGTAGATAGTGTACATTATTGTGATGACAAGTGTGTCATATCAAATCCTAACGTTTATATCTGTCAATTCCGTATGAATTGTGCACGTGTTCACTAGTTGTTATGTATTCATATAGTTGCAGAGAAGCCGTCCTTCCAACTGAACTCCAATGTTATGATGTGTTAGTTGTTGTCATAGTGTCGTCATGGCTGAATGACGTCACAGGGCTCCCACAGGTCAGGGAAAAGTCAGGAAATTTGGCATTTCTCTGAAAGTCAGGAAAAGAAAAAGTCAGGGAATTTTGATATGTTTTCAAAAGTCAGGGAATAGTCAGGGAATTTGGGGTTTAAGTCAGGGAAATTTAGGGTTTTGGTCAGGGAAAAATAAGACTCAGAATGTCGCTAATCAGGTATGGTAGTAGTCAAAGTCAAAGATGCAGCACATGTTACAGACATTTCATGAAATAAATTACAGTTCAGATAAGAGATTGCTTTTAAGCATAACAGCATGTTTTACATAAAGCCCTAGATTACATATTACATTTTCATTTCTGGAGGATAGAATGGAAACAAAGTCACTTGAAGGATATTTTTACAGATAATTATTTGGCATGTATTGTTTTCTTAAATCAGCATAATGTGAATTTTATCTTCTACAGCCGGGTGACATAACAGACATATTCTTCTATGAAGCACAATCGGTTGGATTTGTGAATCAAACAATATGAAACATATTTTCCGGGTTAAAATTCCAAAATTCTGGGAAACTGACATAAATTTGATAAGAGCCTTCTTAGCATGAATGCGGGGGGATATAGTCGACGCCTTGCCCGTCTGTCTGTCCGTCCATCCGTAATCATTTTGTTTCCGGAGCATAACTCGAAAACGGTTCAATGTTTTTAACAAAACTTTGCAGATATATCAAACAGAACCTAAAGTGGTGCCTTTGACTATTTACATATTTTTGTCATTTTTATTTTTCTTGGTTGCCATGGAAACGTTTTAGACTGTTCTTAAAAGGGAGTGGTGGGCTTTGTTTCCGGAGCACAACTCGAAAACCGTTTAATATCTTTCAACAAAACTTGGCAGATATATCAAACAGAACCTAAAGTGGTGCCTTTTGCTATTTACAGATTTTTTGTCATATCTATTTTTCTTGGTTTCCATGGAAACATATTGGAATTTGTCTAAAAAAATGAAGTTCAACTTTAAGTAACTGTCAGATGATTTGCTCTTTCATATTTGTATGGGCTGGGGGATTTGTCATCTTCTGATGACTCTTGTTTAGTATGGAAAAACACTAATCCGAGATAGGCATAGTGATTAACAATAGATAATTGTTTGCCATTCAAAAACATTTTTCTTTATAGGCAACAGATCCACCTCTTCTAAAGATAACTATGTTAACAGATAATTTTCCATTCATTTGTATACTGTTCCAAAATATTATAAATAGTATGATGGCTATGGTGGTTTCTTGCAAATTGTGAAAGCCCATATTGGCCAAAAATACCCATATAAGTTTCATTGTTAAAGTACAGCATAGGTTTATAATATGCCCTATGTTCTGACATTTGCTGTTTATTCACAAAATTGAAAGTGGTTTAATGATGTTCATAATCTAGTTGTCATGGTTGTACTGAATGTAAAGTTACATCTTGCATGTTTATTCTTTCCAAATACGCCTTTGATAATTAAAACATTTTGTGATAATGAAGAAATGTGTTCCTGACTTTGAATGAAACAATTCAATTAAATCATTAGTTTCACATTTATGCTCTTTGTCAAAAGCCTTTAATATAAAATACAAAGTTTTCAGATGATATATTACTGACTTCACCTGAGAATATATATATGATGGTCACGGTCAAATGTTTCTAATAGTGTTATGTAACATTGTGGCAGGAGAGTCAAGGAAAGTTTTCTTCATCACAAATATCAATGTTTTGGTTAATGTAATAAATTAACAAATATTGTGTGTATTTATGATATGTGTGAAGGAAATATCTTAACAGGGTGGTTAGGACTGACTGAAAGGGAGGAAGAAGGCCAGTTTTTTACACTTAAATGGTCAGGGAAAAATCTATACTTGTCAGGGAAAAGTCAGGGAATTTTGGCCTGCCATGCCTGTGGGAACCCTGTACCCTAACGCCCCTCGTCCTATTGAAGACTTACACTTTACCATCATATATATATAGTAGACAATGTCCAAGGCCCTATGTCCAGAACATATCTGACTATCTGACATGCCATGATTAGATTTCTTGTGACTAATTGTCAGTAAGATTTCCTTCTGTAAATAGATATGGGAAACAGAATTAGTTTCCAGAACAAAACAAATGGTCCACGGTTGTCCTCATGTGGGATGGGGCGGTGGGGTAGCCTAGTGGTTAAAGCGTTCGCTCCTCATCCCGAAGGTCCGGGTACAATGTGTGAAGCCCATTTCTGGTGTCCCCCGCCGTGATATTGCCGGAATATTGCTAAAAGCAGCGTAGAAACATACTCACTCACTTTTTCCTTTTTTTTTGTACCTTTGTGGCGTAAAACCATACTCACTCAAAGCACGTGGGTCGACGTTTAGTCTTTCAAGACGCCCGTGGCCGCCGTGCGCGAATCGTCAGACACAATAGGGACGTGTGCGTCAACCGAATAGGCCGCGACCACGTTGCCTGAACTTGGTTGGGCGCTGCTAGAGGAGTAGGATAGTATCCCTAAAGTCGCGCATTTCTCTTTCAAATGGGGGCGGCGGGGTACCCTAGTGGTTAAAACGTTCGCTTGTCACGCCAAAGGCCTGGGTTCGATTCCCCACATGGGTACAATGTGTGAAGCCCATTTCTGGTGTCCCCCGCCGTGATGTTGCTGGAATATTGCTGACAGCGGCATAAAGCATACTCATTCTTTCACATGAGTAAACAGTGCTGATACTGAAAGTACGTATGAAACCTTGTGAAACCTCAGGTTGGAAACATTTATGCCATGTGTCTATGAGGATGGATACTGAACCGGAAGATATTGACCTTCAAAAGCTTACAAGGACAATGGAGATGAAATGATGCAGTGAGTTAATATATATAGAGGAAAGAGGCGCAAAATGTCAAGATTGTTTCTGTATAGTTTCCACAAACAGAAACGTATACAGACGCTCAACCGTAACAGACAGGCGTTGATGAATAAAATTATGACTACCGTTGGCCCTGTACCTGTCAATTCACACAATGATCCCTACTTCCGTTAAGATCTACAGTCTAGTAAAATAGTCGGTTCATTTCATTTGCATCCAGAATCCAATTTGATTTAGTGAACTGATTGTCGGTCACCACGGAAACAACATTATCTTCAAGTCACAGTGAGCTGTTGTTTATTGACTCGAGCAAAAGCGCCTTTCAACAACAATGACGACCGTACTGTGCTGGTGCGAAAGCTCGTTACGAATAGGTTTTTCAGCCAACAATTGATTTAGTTGTTATAAAGGTATTTCATGTGTGTACTTAATTACTTAAGCATGCATACGGCACATCGCCGTTGGTT